GGAACAGAAAGGATAAAGGCACTAAATTCTGGCTGATTCTGATCGAGAGTAGAATTCACTGTTTGGCTCGATACTACAAAAGAGTAGTACCCCACACAGGCTAGCTACGAATTGGGATGACTTGATGGCAATAGGTTTCGGCTGATATTCACGAGTAGTCACTTCTCTTTTCTCCCCAATATTTCAGTCCTAGAAATCGCCCCCAGCACAAATCTGCTCCCTCTTTCTAAAAATGTGCCTATTCAAGACATTCTGAACACGTTGTGTGAAAAGTGCCGTACAAGATGTAGTCTTCTGTGACTGGCTCTCTCACGTCATGTTGTAAAGATCTAGCCGTGTTGGTTCATGCATTTGGACTTCGGTCCCTTTTATTGCCAACTAATTTCCATAGTATTTGCATAGAATAGTTAAACCACATTCAAATTTATCCTGTATCTACACATATATAATTAAATTTGCCTTGTAAACTATATTTAAGGATAAACTCAAAAGACTTTAATTACATTTACATTGTGTACCCTCATCCTACCTATTTCCAAAACTTTTCATCACTCCAACCTTAAATTTTGTGTTCACTAAGCAATAACATTCAAATTCTTCTCTCAGTGAACTCCTAATCTACTTCCTCATATATAAATTTGATATAAGAACTGATTTAAAGCCAATTGAAATATTTCATCATATGTGAAGTACTGGAGGTGATTACGCATCTGTGCCAAGAAATTTGGAAGCCAGCTTAACCGATGGGACGAGATCCATATTCGAGCCCATTCCAAAGAAAGGTAGTCCAAAAGTGCTGATATTATCAAATAATATCATTAAGATTGCATACAAGTAGATTCTTGCTGAAGATAATTCAACAGTAGTTGCAGCAGAATATTGACAGTTGACTGCCAGAAATTCAAGCTGGATTCAGAAGAAGATATGAAATTAGTGCTCAGATTGGATGGATCTTGGCTGGTAACAGACATTGCCAGAAAGATCTTTACCTTGTGATTTTTTGAGTATGGAAGAGCATTCAACTGTGTGGATCATAGTGAATTACAGATACCATCGTGAAGATTAGGAATTCCAGAACACTTCATTATGCTCATGGGCAGCCTTTTCATACATCGACTAAGATGGAGTCATTCAAATAAAACATAGGTTCCCAAACTTATTTGGTCTGCCACTCCATTTCAGAATAAACTTTACTCAGGGCTTGCTAGAAATTAAAAATGTTTAGAATCCAGCCTATGATCCAGGATAAAACCTAGTGAATGCTTTTGTACCCCGCTGGGTTGCTCCAGCAGCCCCCAGGGGGTGGTATCACTCATGCTGAGAAACACTGAAAAAGGACAAAGGGGTTGCGTGTGATGATATTAAGGACAGGTGTATCCTTTCACCATGGCTAGTTAATCTGTATACTGAACAAATAATCTATGAATCTGGACAATATGAAGAAGAATATGACATCAGGATTGGAGGAAGACTCATTAACAAACTGTAATATGCAGATGACAAAACATTTTTTGCTGAAAATGAAGAGAATTTGAATCACTTACTAAGATCAAGGACTGCAGTCTTCAGTATAGATCACACCTCTACATGAAGAAAACAGAAATCCTGACAACTGGACCATTAAGTAGCATCATGATACATGGGGATGTATTGAAGTTGTTAAGAATTTAGTGTTACTTGGATCAGCAGTTTCTTTGACATCGGGAAACAAGGAATCAAATAATGTATTACATTGAGCAAATTTGCTGCAAAAAATCTATTTTAAGTGCTAAAAAACAAACACTTCACTCTGAAGGTTCAGGTCTGATTTTGATCCTTAGAAGGTGGAGCCTTGGGAACATTTAGAATGACCCAATAGTACCAGTGGTTTTCATAGAACTTTCTTTGACAGTTTATTTCCCTGATTTCTTTGTGTTTTTTCCTCCCTCCACACCTGTTACTTCTGCAGGGTGGTATGTGCTGGTCTCTGGTCTGTCCCCCAAAGATACTGTAGTTCCTGACTGGGAACGGGGGTTGGGGAGAGCCATCATAACCTTTACAAGCTATGATGGTTTCACCGGAGAAAGAGTTCGTGGAGCTCCTTACACTGTTATTTTGGGAGTTTGGTGTTCTTGACTAACTATTTATTCACTTGACCTGGCATAGGATTCCAACAGTCTCGACAAGTAGTTGCCGTCTGACAAAACCATTTGAAGCAGCAGATGTGCACGGCTGTTGCTTTTCCTGCACTTATCTCCTAACCCATTCTGGAGGTGGTGGCTTAAGGGGTGGGCGAGCTCTTTTCTTACCCTTTACCTACTTGGACATCATGCCCTCCCTGGTACCCCTGGCTGTCTCTGCATCTTCGCTTTTGTACAGGGCTCCACATTTCTATTGGATCCATCGGAAAAGGTGACATAGTTTGTAAACTGTCTACGTGGCTCATCGACTCGCTTTCACTTATAGCCAGTTTCATGGCATCTGTAAACTAGTTTGTGGACTGCCTATCTTGCTCTGACGTTGGTCTCCCCCAGACCACACTTGTTTTCATGCCTTGGTTTAATGTGTTGTATGTAATCCCCATGTGAGAGTGATGTGAGAGAACAATGTGGAGTCAATATAAAAAGATTTGGTGAAGTGTCTACCTTAAAAACAATGTTATAAGGCAAATTTAGCATGACAGCTATCCGTAAATGACCCTGGATATGCCATTATAATGGAACTCCCTTAACGGTAAAGGGAACATTTGAGACTGGAGGTTTCTCTTTTTCTAAAGTTTAGATGTATCAACTACATCAGAACAATTGAAACCAAGGGGTATTTTGCTCGAGGAAGGGTGACATGGAGGTCGTGTTTGAAGATAATTCCCCCCCCCCATAGGAATTAGAGCAAGACATAAATTCATTTTTATTTAGATTGTTGTTGAGTCTCATTTGGGGGATCTTAAGGGATATGCCTGTTTCCTTAATTATTGAATGTGTAAATTAAATCTTCTAAAGGCACACTAATTAGGAAATGCTAATTTGCACTTCATTTAGGTTGTTTTACAATAGTCCTTTTCTCCCCCTCAACTCTGTCCAGGGAATAAATACCAACTGTATCTTAGCATCCTTCTTGAGTATTTACCTCAATGGTCTGTGATGAACAGTGATTTGAACCTATGAGGAAAAAATATTATTTACAATCCTTGGATCACAGTTTGGTGTGCTTCTTCCACGTGGACTTATATGACACCTCACTGAAATATGGAAAGAAGCCTTTAAGACAGAAGAAGCTATTCTTTTTCTTTAAAGTTGTATTGGCACATCATCCACATATCATGCAATTCAATAGTTCAATCATATCAAGAATTCCCACAATTCTAGAACACTTTGTTCCTCTTCTTATGGTTAAATCAATTTTACATGCGTTCTGTAATCAATCAAAAGCAGTTCTAGTGATCTTCCTGCTTCCTACATACATTTAAAACATTATTATTAATTGGGCATTGGTACCTAGATCATAGATCAATCACATGGAGCAGAATT